GTACGGAGGCTGTGCAAGCTCTAGAGCCCAACCGACTTTAAAGATTAGGATATGCAAGAAAAAATATTTTAAAAAAAACATGTATAATAAATAAAGTGTTAGCCAGGTCAGATGGCCGAGATCATTAGGCAGAGTGCCGTAGCGATTCTTGACCGTACCTTCATTCGCCTCTTTATCGGTTTACGTTCATTCTTAACGCTGCGCACATTTCTACTTTTGGAAATGATGATTAATGTCTTGGTTCTTCTGCGAAAAAAACGATGATGTGCGATTTACATGTTTCTTATAAAACAGAATTAACCCATTGTGCAATTGCGAACAAATATCGACAGCGGCACACGTACAAACTGTACGCTCATGGCAGGAAAAATACTGCGTTGTAAACTGCGTGGGCTGACTCAGCCACAAAAGAGCTTAGTGCAAATTGACACCTTGCCATATTTCTGATCTTTTACCGGAAATACAGATACAGGTCAATTAGGATAATCTGAGAAATACGACTTTAAGTTTGCAATAAACTTACTGCTTAATAGAGTTCTTCGTATTTTCTGTGTCTGCCATGAATTCCGGTCCTTACATGTTAAACGCCTTGTTTATGGCAATGACTGACTCGAGTTGTCCGAGTTCCTTTCCCCACTTAACATAGGATCATAACAGGAATGCTGGCAATCTACTTAAGCCCCTTGGTAATTAACCGCCGATCAAAATATGTTAGAATATTTTTAAAAAATTCATATTGCTTTGGTGTGAACTTATAAATATGACATGTGAAGAAAGAGAAAAGGAAAACCAATAAAATAGACTGAATTAACTAATATAATTACAGAGCAATCAATTCGATAACCTCATTCAAACACTGTCATAGCAGAAATGATGACGCCCCGCAAACAAACGTCTTCCAGAGATCCAATCTGCTCACAAAATGCAGAGCCCTTTATGTCTGTGAATCATGTTGGTTAGTTCGTTGTGGCAACGACGAGAAAATAATCATTACTTCTGCGTCGCCGGTTTGGTAACAAGCGTTGGACTTTTTTACTAGCCATAATAACAATGAAAAGAAACGAAGGGCGAAGTTTCATGCGGACCATTCTGGTACGGCGAAGTCGGACCGCAAAACGCGTCGTGGTTGCGTCGGAAGGAGAGAAGGGCCTTGCGCAAGACGCGAGTGGGGGTGGAGCTGCCGAGCGGGAGGGGGCAGCGTGGAGAGATGGGGGGGGGGCTAGAGGATGGGGGGGTAAGGCGGTGGGGGATGGCGGGGGGGCTGAGAAGATGGGGGGGCGTGGGGGTTAAGGGCGGCTCGGGGGATGCGGGCGGAGGAATATGTGGAGGAAACGAGGGGAGGGGGAAGGCACAGAAGGACATCACTGAAACGGCAGAAATTGACCGCGTCCTGACCTTCTTTCTTCTGTTGCAGACCTCCAACGACGGCAACACCACCACCAGTACCTTGTCCTTCAACGCCAGCAAAGAAGATGCTGGGAAGTACCTGAACTGTCGCGCCGAAAACCCAGTGCTGTCCAGCGACGGCCTGGAGGACGGCTGGAAGCTGGAAATTCAATGTAAGTGCCTGCCTACTGACTGCCTGCCTGGTTCTGCGTGTTTTTTGCAGATAAATTAATTTTACTGCAAATAATTTGGTATAGGAGTCAAAACTCTATTGAAATTTGAAAGAAAACAGTAAAAAACTGCTTAAGTTAATATGCAAAAGATCTTTGAATCTAACATTTCACGAGTGTAGTTTTTGTAATGAAATATCGTTGTATAATTGGATTAAATTGTAAGATTTATATATAAAATGAATGTAGTTTATTCATACACTTGTAGTATTATGCAGTATGACGTACTAGACAATTTAGAAAAGTGAAGTTCACTGTAAATACATGCAAGAATTTCTTTAAAAATATGGGAATTTCCAGTCCTTAAAGAATTTGTACCAAAACATAAGGTCTGTAAATCGTCGTTCCATATATCATACAAAATATTGATGAAAACCCGAAATATGTGAAATCTCATTGTAAAACGTATGCCAACTTCATGGGTAATATCATTCGATTCGATACTGTAACTGCGTAACTTTAATACCATCGAATATAGTTCTCTTTCATCCCAGTCATTTTTTGCGGCGATAAGTGATGTGAGCCGTTTATCAGACTCTTAGAAATAAATAATGGTAACCTCATGTCAGTTTGGAGTAAATGTAATTAGTAACCATTGCTTATCACTAAGTAGATCCGGTGGCCGAGATCGCTAGGGCAGTAGTGTCGTAGCGAATCTCGTACCGAAAGTTCGCGGGTTCGAGTCCTGCCTCAGGCATGGTTGTATTTTGTTCGTCCTCACCCCCTATCATCATCATATCAGGGAAGGCAACGGGAAACCACCCTTAATAATGTATCCCAAGAAAACCCGTTATGGGTCACCTAACTTCCGCATATGGAAGATAGGACCGAAGAAGAAGAAGAAGCTTATCACTAAAAATATATTGAAATTACATTTAACAATGCACTGTTAAATTAATTGAAGTATAAGTTGCAGAGGCCATCTTCCACATCATAGTATATACAGCAAGACATTGTTAGAAGACATTATATGAATTTTAATAACAATTGGAGTAACAATTGTTTGCACGTTAGATGCTGGTATTAGTTCAGAGCAACATCGATATGTTGAAATAAGTCCCTCACCAATCGAGCCGACTAGTCAGCACTCACCCAAGACATGGCTTTCCAGGTTACGAGGGAGTTTGCTTTAAATACCAGGACGGTACATAAAAGCAACAGCTTTCCGAAGAGAAAGGGATGGTAAGCAAACGAACGAGAGAGCAGGCACGCGAATAAAAGGACGCAAAACTCCCCCACCCGCTCCGCGAGCTCCTGAAAAGATACGGAATACCTCCGCCACACAATTTATTATTCCTATTGTCGTCGTTCTTCTCTCTCCAGGCGCTCGAAACTGAAAGCGTGTTGGCCGCCGAGCTCTTCAGCTTCAATATTAAATAAGGAAAGGACGGGCCGAGCGCCTCACAAAAGCTCCACTTCCTTAATCAAACGTAACTTTCGTCTCGCAGCTGCCAGAGAAAAATTAAATCCAATCAATTAAATGGATGTTTGCTTATAGATGTCAAATAGAAGTTCTGAATTTTGCAGCAAGCACATCTTGAGATATACTGGTAGTCTCATATTCAGGAGGATGAGAATTTATTTTCTCCGCTTTAGGTAAACTTCACATAGAAAGGAGATCATTGCAGGGGAAAGTTGACTAATTTAGACGCGTTTTGAATTGCTCAGTTGCATATTCTCAAAGATTCAATTAAAATAAAGTTGTTTCCAAAACAATGTACAATCTATGTACTCTCATTATAAGTAATATTTTAATTACTCCTTTACTGGTAAAGAGGAATTGAAAGAGAAAAGTATATAACCGATTCAAATTGGTATAACATTCCCCTAAATTGGACCCAGTTTCCTGAGTTGGACTCGAAAATAAACAAATTGGAAGGACCGACGTGTTTCTTCAAAATAACATTATTATGATGTACTCACTATAAAGAAAACAATAATAGTTGTTTCGTTGCAGAAAATAAGTTTTCTTGTGAAATTATTGACAATCCACTCATTTAATAAATTTATACATTCTAATGATCCTGATTTACAGAAACAATCATTTTAGTATTTTAAACTGAACTTACCTGCCAGAAACAAAATATTTTCGAAGCCATTTCCCTGTCACTGAGCAACGTCCACATCCTCTTAAATATAACGGAGCTCGCGGACAAACTTCTGGACACGTACGACCACGAGGTGCCCGTGGCCGCCCTGCCACTGAGTTGAGCAGGTCTGCCTTAACAATTATATCACGAGCGCCTGTAAATAAAATAGAGATATATAAAACAGCAAAAAAGTTACAGATAGCGATGTAACACTTGCTTTCTCCAAAAGATGGCATTAACGAACTCGAACGAAGGAAACGTTCAAATTTTCTCCTCAGCTCTGGATTCAAGTGTTGGATCAGGAAATTATAGAGAAGCTGGTGCTCGCGATGTCTAGAAACCAATTATGTCCGCCCTGCCGTATTTGTAACACAAAGAGTTGCACGAGGTAGTTGGAAACACGTAACGCAGACAAAAGGGGATGATCCCCGCAGAAGTGAAGTACTTTTTATCGACGTCAAAAAGATAATTCTCATAATGACTTCTTAGAAAATTACCAGGAATACTTCTTTATTGCAAATGTGAAACGAAAGAGAAGGAGATATATTGTTCTCCGCGATTCGACCACCAAAGTGCTAAAGAGAACTTGTAACCTTTGTAAATATGATTCTCAGAGTCTTATGACAGCTTCTAATTAATTGTTTCTGCTTTCTCACCCTCAGAACATAGGAAGCTATTTGTCGAGTGAAAACAAACTGAACGGAAGAGAGTGTCTTAATTGTAATGTTGTATCAGTCCAGAGATCAAGCACACATGCATTTGCAATTCATCTCACTTGCGTATAGAATACTTAATAGCAAGCAAAGAGGAAGTCGGCAGTAAATTTTAGTTGTCTCTCACTCCTGTTTCCTGCACCATAGACACTATGCTGGATGAAGATATGGATTCAAGAAAGCACAAACATCTAGCATGTCATGATGTTTGAATGTGTAAACTTAAACTAGTTAAGGGGATCCGAGAATAAGTAATGAGTAGATAGAACAGAAAAATAGTGCTGTGTCGTTCGTTCTGCCAGTCTACAGTTTACATGTCTACAGATATCGCGTAGGTGAAAACACCACCCATTTTTTAATGCGTGATAGTTTTCTTAAAAAAGTATTGATGCAAAAAAATTCAAAACAAATGGGAATGATAATATGCCATTTTCGAAAAAAAAATTCAAACATTCTTTGAGGCATCTTCCCATTTTCAAGAAACGACCCAGCGTGGGGCTCTTGCAGGCAGAACCACCAGATGACCCGCTCAAACACACCACCTCGAACGAGAGCCATATCGCGAAAGACATATGGGGAAAGCCAATGGGGCACGTGCGGTTGTCGCTTTCGGCATTGCCTCTAGACGCCAAACCGCCCTCCCGTCCTCAGACATTCCTCTACCCCGCCACGTCTCCCAATGCCTCTCCCCCGCTCGGCCCTTACACTCTCCTCTCACGTTTGCCCCTGCTTAGTCGCGCCCCGTCTTTCTCGCCCCCCAACTGCTCCGCCCCAGCACTCCATAGCCGATCTGTCAACTTTCTTTGTTGCTCACATCGTTGTTAAGAAGGCTTCACAAATTCGGCAAATAACGAGCGGATATTCGCCCAATCCCGAGTAACGGAGATTCTTGGTGAATGTTCGTTGAACGATGTGCAGAAGACGCAGGTGGTAAGGCGAGCACCTAGTGTATGGCCCACGGTAAACAGAATGCAACCCGTAATCACTACGAAGAATTCGTATCGCAGTCGCTTGCTACTCACCAAATATGTGAAGCTTTGTTTATCCGTCGATCCAATCATGAGGCACGCATTTGTATTCATTTTTCGCATCAGGATGCCTCTCATAACAACTCATGCTGTCTCTAACACTCACCTACCCAACCAACCTGACCCGTTCCACTCCCAACCAACCGTCTTCCACAATTCCGCATTGCTCCTCTTTCCCCAAACCCCGCCTCTTTCCGCTCCACCTCGCCTCACTCAATCCCCTAGCATGTTCCAAAACGCACCATCTCCCCCAATTGGGCGAGAGAGGTCAGAGGATAAGGGACAACGCAAGGGTATAGGGATTTCAACAGGTGACAGATCGGCGTCCAGCCAGACAACCCCGCCTCTTCTCCCTCCTCCCCTCTTTGAGACCTCTGGTTCTTGCTGCCCGTTCGTGGGGAAGGAGACGCGCCGAGTCTCCGCGAAGACAGAATCACTGACGCGGTGCGCAAGGGAGGGGTGTAGAGCGGCAGAGACAACACCTATAGTGTCAGTGTGTCACAGATAAAGTGTGTGTGTGAGAGAGAGAGAGAGGGTAAGAGAGAGAGAGAGGGTAAGAGAGAAAGAGGGTGAGAGAGAAACAGGGTGAGAGAGAAACAGGGTGAGAGAGAAACAGGGTGAGAGAGAAAGAGGGTGAGAGAGAAAGAGGGTGAGAGAGAAAGAGGGTGAGAGAGGAAGAGGGTGAGAGGAAGAGGGTGA